AGAAACAGAAACAGACACAGAGAAAACAGACACAGAGAAGACAGACACAGAGAAGACAAACACAGAGACAGACACACAGACAAACACAAACAGACAAAGACAGACAGAGACATACAGAGACAGACAGAGACAGACAGAGACAGACACAGACAGACAGAGACGGACAGACAGACGGACGGACAGTCAGACGGACGGACAGACGGACAGACAGAAAGACACACACACACACACACCATGTCTGACCAAAATGCTGAAGTTCATGGTCTGCATACGGGAGCGAGGTTGCTCGCCTCCAAAACGAAGGTCTCAGCATGCTGGGAAGGTTCAGGAAGCCACAGGGCCTCCAACTCCTGAGGCTATCAAAGTCGAAACGAAGTCAACTGCACGGTTTTGAGATGTTTTGAGCAACTCGTGTCCTGTCAAGCCTCCGCCAAAATCTGCTGCCGTTTATGGGATACGAGTAGACTCTGAGAGCATAGGGACATTCATGGGCACATTCCTCTCTGGCCTCTGTGGTGTAGTTGTCGTCAAAGAGAAACGCATCTGGCTCCTAGGCACGAAGCGCCACAACTACACTGAAAGTCGCGAAAATGCACTGCGTGGCACTGCATTGGGTGGAGGGTGCCGAAACTGTCGAAACTCCTCGGCCACCTGTCTTCCCAGCTCAATGATGCCCGGATAATCCTGCAGCATTCGTGGGTTTTCACCGACGAACGCACGTTTGTTTTAAAAGGATAAAGACGTCTGTGCAATGCCTCCTCATCTGCCGGACCTTGCTCTACGTCACGCTGTCAAAGTCTAAGATTCTGAGTCTCAGGTCTAGAGTCTAGGTGCCTCATGGCGCCTCGACACCTTGACCCCTTGTCGCAGCGCGCAAAACAAGACGAGGCCCACACGAATTTGGAAAGAAGGCATGTCGCAGTGGACCCTAGCGGCGCACAAGCCACTGCAAGCTTATCCACCCCTGAAGTTGCAAACAGAACATGGTCAGGCCTTCAATGCCTTCACGCAGCTTCGCAAATGGGCCGCTCACATGCACTCTAGCTCACCCTGCTAGAAGCTGCTAGAACACCAGCGTATTTGGCGCAGCTCTAGGAAAAAACAACGATAACTGCCCATTGTCCATCCCTTGACCCGACCCGTAAAGGAACCGTTGTTCAACACAACTTTGCAGCATGCACAACAAAGACTCAATGCTGTCAGAACCATGTGTTGCATGCCACAAGTCTGAAACTAATGGATCAACAAATGCTGCAGGCAACCTGCGACACCATAGCCTCTCCGATGCTATGCAAGTCCTCCAGAATTTTCTCACCCCTCACATTCCACCCTCCGCACACATATCAGGAATATAAAGTTGACATAGCCTTCAGGCCCAAGAGACGCGCGAGAGAGAGAGAGAGAAAGAGAGGGAGAAAGAGAAAGAGAAAGAGAAACAGAAAGAGAAAGATAAAGAGAAAGACAGAGTGACAGAGAGTGACAGAGAGAGACAGAGAGAGACAGAGACAGAGAGAGAGAGACAGAGAGAGGGACAGAGAGAGACAGAGAGAGGGACAGAGAGAGGGACAGAGAGAGACAGAGAGAGGGACAGAGAGAGACAGAGAGAGGGACAGAGAGAGAGACAGAGAGAGAGAGAGCGAGAGAGAGCGAGAGTGGTTCGGCGTCAATCTTAAGGGCCGAATGGACGAAGTAACTACACCGTGTCGATCTTCCTGCACTGTCCTCAATCCGTTCCAATCACAAGAACCGAAGCATTCGACATGATACCCTGTCTTTCATTTTCCAGTTCTGTCTACATGCCATGGAAATACAAGCGGGAGTAAAGCACGTTTCCTTTTCCTCCGCTTCATCACCGCCGACAATAACCGAGCCTACTGCATGCACTTTGCATGTTCGCAGGCACCTGGCACCCATCGACCTTCAAGAGTTGAACGGGGTGTTCGAAGTGAGGTCGACAACCAAGAGGAACCACATTTGCAACACAGGTGCACTGCCTGTCCAGGTGCCGTCCAACGGCAAGAAACCTCTGCAGCTCACTGGACAATGCTGATCTTGCTATCCTCCACAAACCTCAGGACACGACGGTCTGTGCACAAGAATTGTGGCACCATGTGGGAGGGGATTCATGGAGCTTGTGGGAGGTTGTGACAGCTTGTGACCATTGGGCTCTTGCTCTTGTCCTTGCAGACGGAGCCAAACTCCGCTCACCTGCCGCACCAAGCGCGGCGCACGATGCACGACCCCCCCGGGCAGTGTAAAGCGCACGCAAAGCGGCAAAGCGCAACAAAGCGAATCACATCCATGACCTGGTGCGGCAATTGACCTCCATGAGGCGTTTGCCTGTACAGTTCTTACGATGCACTCGGCGATGTCTCGTGCCCATGCCGAATGACAATGGATCAAACGGAAAGTCGGCGCCAGAAGCCTCAGGCTGGGACGAGTAAATGACTCCTCGGGAACAGTCGAAGTTTTTCCTTTTGGCTCCACTCCCTCCAATGATCCATAGGCCGTTTGTTCCTGCGTCTGAAGGCTGTCCGACACACATGACACACTGCGAATCATGCGAGCATCGCCTGAATAGAGCCAGTATTTGCCGCCCATTTGCTTCCACAGCGGGCTGCCGTTTGCAGATTCACCGGCCACCAGCAGATACTCACCTCGCTGCAGCCCCTCGCACTCGAGTGGAGGCTCTGAATACAAAGTGTTCAGAAGGCGCTTCTGTACAGGGCCCTGGGGTCCGGTCCGCCGCAGTTTTGCTGTCCACTTGGCGTGGACACGTGCAACTTTACAGGCTTCCCAAGCGAAGAGCTGGAGGACACCTCGCATGGCACTCGGCACAAACAGCCTTCGAAAAAAACCGTGATTCATCTCTGACTCGTGGAGCAAGCAGAGCAAAAGAACAAGCAGCCATGAGCAGCCAGTACATGCGCTGCAGTCCCGAAGCTTCCCCCCACCTTGACTTGGTCATCCTGAGCGCAAAGTCACGGAGAAGGTCCAGGCAATTGTATAAAATTGTAGAGAAACATCAGGAAAAATTGAAGGCCTTCACCATCTCCTCATTATCTAACCGACTCCAAGAGGAGAGCACCTTCACATGACGAAACATGGCGAAACCCATCTCAGCACTGCGATTGATAGAGTCTGATAGAGAATGAAAATCACTCTAAGGGCAGCATGGCACATCGAGAAAACAAAGCTTTAACGGAACGCCTGGCCACGAAGCATCCTCCCATAACTAAGCGTGTGAAACAGCTCTGCTGCTTGAACCGACCTGTCCTCTAAAGCCCATCATGCAGCATTGAGCGCAGCCATGTTTGCAGCTGTACGAAGTAGCACGCCCTCGCTGCTGAGTCGAGCGATCCATGTATCTCCAGAATTGCTGGAGCAACGCCATCTGGAGGCTGCGCAAAAAGAGAGACGCCAGCCTTGCAGGCTATTCCACTCACGTCGCTGGCAAGATAGCTGGCCAATTGGTAATCAGGCATGGCCACCAGCATTGTTGCGCCGCGCCCACCTCCATTCTTGGTGCTCTGGTGTGCGTCCGCTTGTGAGCGTTCGCCCATGCAAGGTCTTGCCGGGACTTGAGCGGGGGCAGGCTGGGATTGCAAGGGGATCTGGGCCCGTCCCGTTGGCTGCGCTGGCTCAATGGTCTCGTTTGACCTGTTTGAGTCTGGATCTTTTCTCGACTCAATTGGAGCACCAGGCTGTGATAGGACGCTTTTGCCCTTGCCCTTCGATTTACCTTTGCTCCGCTCTGGACGATCCACATCATCCTCATCGGCAGGCACTCGGGGCGGAGGTTCAGATGCTTCCCAAGGTTCTAGAGACTTGTGAAGCCTCCAGCCAGACAGGGCAACCGCCTCCTCGGGACCTGTTAACCTGATTGCTCGAAGGGTGGCTGGGGAGGGGCCTGAGGGTTCCTGCGCCTCAAGCTGAAGCTGACCGTCTGGAAACATGCTGCGCTCCATGCGCAACACCGGCTCCAATTCGTCCCAACGATCAGTGGGAAAGAGCAAAGACACTTGAACCTCGCGCATGCCTTCGGGAACCGCTTCAGGCCTTGAGATGTTTGAGGCGTCCTCCTCTCGGGCAATAGCAGCACTTCGTGTTGCCAAGTCCCCTAGTACCAACCTCAACACTCTCAGACGTTGGGCTAAGGTAGCCCGGGCTGCACTGCAGATGCGCTCGCTCGGGTGAAAGGGAGGGGACTCGGCATCATCTATAGAGACCAACGCCAGGTCTCTAAGCCTGGCAACGTTTGCACCAAGCTTGCCCACCACCGTTGCTGCCTCACCCTGCGCCAGAAGTATCCGAAGTGGTACTTCTGTCTTGCCTTCGTTGGCAAACCGCTCCCTCTCAGCGCTCATGGCCGCCTCCGCCTCAGTCATCAGGGCCTCACGCAGCTCGAAATGCTCAGATCTCAGCACCTCCGAGACTACTAGCTCCTTGAGCGTGGATTGCAAACGCCAAAGCGCCGCTTCTATTGGCACACGATCCCTTGCCAGCAGCTTCACCCTCTTTTGAGAAGCAATGCCTGCTAAAGGCTCGCGAGAGACCTGGACTTCGCATCCAAGCTCTTCAATGATGGCTTTGATGCGCTCGCCTCCCTGACCCACAATCCCGCCTCCCGCACGCTCAGGTACAATCAGGTCAAGAACATGTGGGCGCTCGCGCTCGCGATCGGCAGAATCCGGAAGTCCCGATCGATCAAAGACACGGTCCAGTACCATAGCTACTGCCTGTCTAAGAGTCCCATCCTCCCCGCAAGAAATTATAATGATACATTCCTCGCGGCGCTTCAGAGCTTCCGGCAGCTCATCTTGCAGAACGCGCACGGAGTTTACTCCAGTAGCTGCACGGATAGCTTTGATGCTCGAGCCCTGCTTTCCAATAACTCTTGCTCCAGCTGTGGCACGCACGATGATGCGGCATGGAGGTACCATGACTATTTGAGTGCCTTCTGAACCATTCGCTGCATCCTGGACAGCTGCCATCAAAGCAGCGTTGCAGGTCAAGGGCACCCTATGGCACCCTGTAACATTTGTTAACTGGCGACTTGGAGCCGAAAGTGATACGGATGGAAGCTGTGCACAGTATCAGGGGGTGCCAATCTGCGTGTTCTAACACCTCCGATGGCCAGCTGTGCTATGCATTGGCGCTGCGACTCTCAAGAGCCGGTATGAACAAATTCCGAGGCTGCTTCCTTGTCGGGAGTCTCACCAAGGTGTGGCTGGTCACCTCAAAGATTGCAAGTTCCAATTGGCGCAATGTCCCCTGCTCAAGCCCCTGGCATCTGAGCAAAGGCTTGTCAGAGTCCAGGCCGTCCTTCAGAATAATTAGTGCAACAATTTGGCCGCAGCTAACATTCTCGGGCACACCACGTTGCCCAATTCATCCCAAGTCCTTGCCTTAGGCACTCCAGCTGTCACCATCCAGTGACCATCAGCCCCCGAGCATATCCTGCAGGATCGAGGGGGAAATTAGCTACCATGCTCCTGCAACGATCAAGTTGCTTCACGCTTGCTGCTTCACCCACGGTCCGTATCTCAGTCCGCCTTTGCTTCCATGTGGGTTGACCATGGCAACGCTCACCAACAAGCACATACTCTCCGCCGCACCTGTCAATTTGCGCAGGGTAAACCAGCATCCTCAATGTATGATGTAGGTCTATGCAACAGAACCATTATTCTACAATATCCGCCAAGGCCCTTTTTTCACTTGGAACGGTATCCTGCCTAGCCAACTCGGGGAGCGGACAGTGCGTCAGGACCAGGGGGCATTTGGCGCAGACAGACACCAAATCTGGCGTTTCTGGCCACGCCAGAAACATTCAGAACCACCATCGACCCCCCACCCCCTAGCCCTCCTCCCCACCACCCCTGTGAACTTCGTATGAACACCGACACCCCCCATGAATGCACAGGGACCGTATGAACTCTTGACAATGCCATTGTGTTTGATGGCTTTCTGAACACGTGAACTCGTTGGCATGTTTCCCGTGCAACCTTCCCCCTTCCACTTCAACCCCAACCCCCTCTGAGCCGTTTAACCTGCTCTGGAAACACCCGGGTTGCAAGGCCAGCTGCATGAGTTGAACTACGCATATTAAACCAAAAATGCGCATTGACATGGGCATGCTGAGGAGCTGGCTTTGGCTGGCCGTTCGGTGACAAGATATGGAGACTCGGAGGCTTGGTGCCCACCAGAATGGCGGCGTCCTGCACCACAACTCGACGAACATAACTCGACAAAGTGGGACAAGTGGCGGATACCTTGTAACTATGACGACGACTAATACTACTACTGCTTCTTTTTCTTCTTCCCACCACTACCACTACCACTACCACTACCACTACCACTACCACTACCACTACCACTACCACTACCACTACCACTCAATCTTTGCCATGCTTCTTCAAGCTGCACTGCTCTGAGTCTGCTGGGGGGCCTCTGGGTCAGGATTCCCTTTTAGATCTGTCGTCGCTTCTTACGAATCATTTGGTCCTGACCTACCGCTATATAGCAGACCTGCCCCGCCCGACGTCTTTCAGATTGATACACCCCCGGGAATGCGGGAAGCTTTCCGCCTGGAGGCGTGCCTTGTCCACTCTGGGGCCTTATTTTTTCTGCTAAGGGGAGGACGGGATTCATCAGATTCTCGGCTTACTGTACATCGAACTGCCTACTTTCTCTCTCGCGGGCAAAAAAAGCAACGCGAGATGTTGTATTGTGGGCATCCCAAACCCGAAGACCCAGCTGCTTGGATGGCCTCGCGGAATTTGTCTCCATCGAGCCGCAGCCAGTTGCCCACCATCTTATCGGGCATCCTTCCAGGTTTCAGATTCGATGCAAGAACGAAACGATAGACAAAGAACACAAGCGAAGCCATGGCGAACCCAGGATTTTCCAGGCCACACCCCGGACTCCACAAGAGAAGGCTCGGTGGGCCCATGGATTTTTTGGAAGCTTTTTTTCGTTTTTCTCCTACAATTCCCCGCTACTCAAAGCGGCTCCAACAATACACTCACACCTCCCGCACAGAGGCTCACACTGCCCGTTGTGCACCGTCTGACAGTAAATGACCTCAGTTTCGACAACTCCGATACTCCACTTCGCTTCCCTTGCCTTGCCAACGGTCTTCTTCGGGCCAGTTCCGAGAGTCTGGCACCACGTGTGCACTGGAAGTCTTTGGCTGCTGCATCCGTGCCACCGATGATCCACATGCCATTGCTGCCTGCTTGAACGAGCTCTTCTCTCTCTCTCTCTCTCTCTCTCTCCGCAAAAACCAAGAAGCGCATGGCAGCCTGAGTAAAGCCAGCACTTGCCACCAGCATGCTCCCAAAGAGGGTAGCCATTAGCCATGCGATCTCCTGCTGGAATATATTCGCCCGAGCACCTGTGACATGCAAGAACCACTCTTGAATGTGTAAATGGGGGCCTTGGCGACTTCAGTTGAGGGCGCCGCCTGTGCTGGCCATGAGGGGTCTGCACGTAGAGTCGTGATGGCTTAATGGTGACTGCAATGGCCTTTCAGACACGTAGCAGCTTCCGCTAGAGGACTCTGCGAACATCTGCATTTTGTTGGGCATTGCTGGGACTGGTGCTGGGTCTTCCTGGAACTTGTCCCCTTGGAGGCGCAGCCACGCTCCACCGACCTCGCAGATCTACGAGCGCTTCTGTATGCTTCTGCGCTTTCCGCACGTCTTTGCACTTGCGCGGTGACGTACCTTGTCTGGCATCAAGCCTCCACTGGGCCTTTTTGAATAAACGACACCTTTCGGACATGCTACACATAGCTCAACTTGCACGAAGCCCAACAAACTCCCTAACAGACGGAGTTTTCATGCAGCACCGTGCATCGTGCGCCTTTTGCGCAATTGAAACCTTTCTCCTTGGCATCAGAGCCACCCAAGATCCACGATCCTGGCATCACGCATGCCACCGGGCCGAAAGCATGTGCCTGAAAGGCTGGCTGCAACTCCAAGTTTGGCAGGCCAGCCATTCGTCCCGCAGTACAAAAAGCACCTTCACAAAGCAACTGGAAGAAACGCTGCCCGGTCTTTCTGTACTAACTGACTAACTCAGTAGAACCTCTCTCCACTATCTTCTGCAGTTCTTACAGGACTGTGCCTTCCAGCCTTTTGCTCCCAGACCGGCAACCCATTCGCAATGCGGCCGGGCATCAGCATCTTGGCTTGCCGCAGGCGCTCATTGCTGTTGGATGAACAAACGAACCGAAGTAGGCCAAAGTTTGTGCTGGGACTGATGTCCTGCTCTTGGCTTAGCCTGCTACATAATCGCCAGAGCATCTTTGCTGGCCATTCGGGCTGACCACCCGGAGTTGCGAAGGCGTGTGCAGATTTTTTGTGACCTCATGCAACTCTTGCAAACGACGAAGCGGCTGATCGTGAAGTATGGTGTGAGCACTACGACTGACTAGGAGTCAGGCAACAATGTGGGGATCCTCGACGAAACACTCGCCGCTTAGCCTTTCCCAAACCTTGGCACTCTAGCCACATGAGCACATTGCCGAGATGTGCCCCGACTGCCGTGCCGGATGTCAGTAGATCTCAACGAACTCAGTTAGGGGCACCAGTGATTTTGTCAGGCGGCACCTCACAAACGATGAGGCTGAGATGACGATGACAGACAATCCTGAAAAGGACTGGCACCACACTTCCCACCACGCTTGCTCCCTGAGAGTCAGACGCCTGCACTCGGCGTTCGGCAGAAAATCAAGCCGTGTGAGCACTTGAAGTTCTTCTCTTTGGCATCTCGTCCCCCTATAATCCACATACCATTTGCACCTTCGATCAGGTGCAGAAAGCAAATTTGGACTATCACCATCACGTCGAACCGACTGCAGACCTGTATACATCCACAGACCACCTTCTTTCTGTTCCCACACCTGCGGCATTTGACTTGCGCTTCATGCCGGTAGCACACGCACACAGCAGTTGGTTTGCTGAACTTCGTGGCGCACAGGGCAGCCATTCGCTGAATCTCCCGACTGCGTGTATTCACCCGCACACTGCTGCTGCCCGTTGGGCGAGATCACGTAAATCCTGAGCCAGCACGTGCACGCGTTTACAGTTCGACCATGTTCTGCCACTCTGCGGAACTTCCTGTTCGACACTGCAATACTCTTGCATAATCTCGCACATCAGAGACTGAGGCTCAAACGAACGAGTCATCCCAGAAAGCTCACGCAGATTCCGCAGATCACATGGATGCCAATGCCTTGCGAAAGGTCCGATTTCTGTAAAGAGTGTTGAAAGGCTTTAGGAAAGCCTCGCTCGCCTGCCAGCAGCGGCTCTCTAGGATGGCATGATGCTGCTAATTGCTTGCTCGTCTGGCTTGAATTAGATTTCTGGCCTGCTCGATTCGGATGACCTAGGGTGTTTAGTAACTTAGTAACTCTTAGTAACTGTCATGGCGAATTCGCTGGAAGCGTGGACTTTGCCTGCAGGTAGCAAGATTTTCTCGCACGTGTACTCTGATTGTGAGCCTTGAGGGTTGGTCGCTACTCCGGGTCAGCGCAAAACAAGGTCTACCTTCAAAGAAATCCTTACCCACACACACACACACACACACACACACCGCACAAACACATAAACACACAGATCCATGATGCTACATGCCCCGCCACCCTTTCTTCTGGCAGCCAGGTCATGTGGAGAGGGTCGACCTTGCGGTACACTCGTCACCTCACGCAAGATATCGCAAGATTTAGACCAACGTCCAGAGATTCCAAAGTTAGCAGAATCACCGACAGGAGAAGCTTGTGGAGATCATTAACTATGACCCCCCCCCCCAATCATCAATTTTGCGCGACAATGGCCTGGATGACCTGCTGCGGATTCTCTTGTAGATTTTCATTCACAACACTTTCTAAGTTCACCTTCAAAAACCACACAGATTGCATAGCTGCTATAGCTGGAACATAGGAGTTGCTGGGAACGCAGCCCAGTGCTACATGCGGTATACTTTGCTGTCTTCCAAAAGCTGGGACGCTGTCCGGTCTTGGCTCGATATGTGTCAGAGGCTACCGCGAGCTCGTGCCCGCACATCTCATACGTCACCAACTTGTTGCCTGGTTGTGCTTTCAATTAAGTCAGCGACAGACACCCGTGCAAATGGGGCGCGTCCATTGTTTTGCAGAAAGGGAAGCACTGCAGGCCGAATCGAGGCCCTGCACACCCGGCATTGAAAGCAGACTGGATGATTTAATGGCAATTCAGACTGTGGCTCAGCAGAACGGCCCCTCACCGAGACAAACAAGTACACACGAAGGACCGTGAATCTTCTGCACGGCTTAGCGGTGCACCTCATCCCAGAACCCGAACAAGCACGATCTTCAACCTGAACCTGGCCGAACAATCGCATGCCACGAGCGAATGAGCTCGACTTGGACGGACGATCTGGTGACACTTGTACCCGCTGAAACTCTCGTAGAGTCTGTAGATTTCTGTAGATTCACGCGCTGTCATCTGACGGTCGCAGATTCAATGGTTCTACCAGTTCTGAGATGTTCCAACTGTTGACGAATCGCGTCGGGTGGCAGCCCTATTCTTGCGGTTGTGGATGCTCGACAGTCGGCTCTCTCGCACTGGCACACACGCAAGCAAGGCTTTCTGCATTTGGTAGGGGGGGTCGGGGTGGAGGTGGAGGGGCACGTGTTCAACTGCAAACGTGATGCTCAGGGCATGGCAGAAGAACTCGTCACACATGAAGGACGACTTACCATTTCCACCTCTCAGCTGCCCGAGCCTGCGGAAGTGATCATCGAAAGCCATATGCTCTTCAGAACTCAGAACTTGACTTCGACAGTCCCACGTGCTCGAATGGGGACTTTCATGGACTTTCAACACAACTATGCCGAGGGTTCTTCGGGCATATGTGCAGTCCATAGATCTGGGGTTGCAGATGATCTTCGCATGTGCCTTCTCGCAAACATGGAGGAATCATGCTGTATGATTCTGTTCCTGACCCCGCGAATCTCCAACACTCTTTGTCCTGAAGTCTTGTGAGCCTCTGGGGAACTCGACGCTTGCAGCGCTCACATCTGAGCCGGAGCCAAGAATGGTCATGGCCGATCTCAACCAAACAGTTGCGTGCCATCGATATCCAGCTGATGCACCCTCGCAGACTCACAGACCAGGCCCCGGGCAAGACATTCGATTGGGGATTGGGAAACCACAAATGCTCGCCGTAAGCACGGTATGAAGCGACATCAACCTGCGCGGGCCGACACTCCGGCAAAGTGGCAAACTAGCTTGCGACTGCTTGCGAGCGATGCTAAAAAGCGAGAATGTGCCATAACCATCGAGGCTGGCGCCTGGTTGACCAGGCTGAATGTGACGCCGCGACTGCCTGTGGGCGCAGGATCCTTCTGCAAAGCCATCGCCAGCCATGTAATCTCACCACGAGGTTGGATCGGGGCCTAAAGTTACGGCGAGCCTTCAGTCCGCACACCCCGGTCAAATACAAGGTAGCATGCGCCAGCTGCCTTTTGATCTTGTCCCCGCAGATCTCAGGATGGATGGGCCAGCCTTCAAAAGCGGCAAGCAAACAGGCAAAGCTCACATAAATTTGGCCGTCATTTTCCGATGTACCGAGGTGCAGGCAGTGCCCAGAAGTTGTCCAACCTCGACATCAGAAGAAGAGCTGCCTGACCTGAGAAGAGCCATGGTCGATTCGATGCTCAAGTCCACCGGCTCAAGGCAACCCATTCGGGTCCACATGTGCCGAAAAGTGGTGAGTTGGTTGGGGTGTCTGACTGCACGATTCCCTGCGAGACACCTCCTCAAAGGCACAGGACCCGTTGTGACAATGTGGAGCTCTTAAACGTTCTTAAACGTTCTCAACGTTTGAATCTCAAACGTTTAAGTTACAACCCTGGGAATCGCGACATCTTCCGAGACCAAGCGGACATGCCCGACACCTCTGCCCCATCGTCTCAAAACCTGAGGCCGCCGCATTTCGGCAGCCAGGCGTCGAGAAGCCTTGGGCAAAGATGTCCGATTTTGCCCACGCATCGCCAAGCGCAGCACACAAAGAACTGGCAAAACAGTTGGGTAGCTTGCGCGAGGGTCGTCCACGTCCCTGCCTTCCTGCCACTCTGTCGCAGTACCGGAAGTGGTCTCATGTACCAGGCATCATTCCACATACCATGAATTAACCAGATCAGGCTCAGAGGCTTCACTGAGGCCTCAGAGGCTCAGAACTCCGGCCTCGCCCTCTTTTCTTCTGTCCTTCTTTCCCTGCCACTGTAGGCTTGTACTTGGCTCACCACAGCTCGCATTTCGTTGTAATTCATGTGGGACCTTCTTTTCCCTTTTGCTCTTCTTGCTCACTGCATCCTTCTTTTCCTTCTTGTCCCCGCGGTCTCGTCGCTCGCCTTTGCGGTTGCCGCTCCGTGGCGGGCTTCAAAAGGTCTCTACAAACTCTTCTGTGCGCCTTTCTCTTCGCGCTCCCGTTTGGGCTTTTTTGCTGCGGAGGCATCCTGCCGGCAACCACTTGACTTCTGCATTCCCTTGCCCAAAGCTTCGATCCATCAATGTTGGCAATATGGCCTGCTGGGGGACATGGGTGGGATCGCCACTGCCATGCTTGCCCAAAGGCGGCCTGCAAGCAGCCTGCGCAAACAGTATCTGTGAACGGCATGGCACGCCTGCAATTCTAGCGTCATTGGTTGCAAAAGGGCAAAGTAGAATACCGCCAGTCCAGACCGAGAAATGTTGGTACATCACACGATGGTTTTGAAACAATGCGTTTGCCATGGGCTGTGTAGCTGCGGCAACCCGTTCCTGATTGTATGCAATCGAGGGCCTGCTGCCCATGCAGGTGGCGTACACTGGCTTTCTGAACATATGGTTTGGGAAGGCTTTTCCAACAACTTCCCCCCTGGCCTGATAGGACCGTAGCTTAAAGTCACGACAGAGATAATGCCCTATGTGTGGACATGGGGGGGATGGGGGGAGGGCATCAGGGCATCTCTCCGAATCTTCCGGCGTCTCAACTTGGGAAGTATGTGTTTCGTAATCCTGCCATATGTTTAGATATATATACATATGTATGCATATGTATATGTATATGTATATGTATATGTATATGTATATATATATGTATATATATATATACATATATCTATATCGTGCCCTCCTCGTAACTTTGCCCCCACCTGTAGCAAGCCGCCAGCGAACAGGGCCTGCTGCAGCCTGACCAATTGTGGTGTTGCCGGCTTGGCAAGTACCATGCTGTCCGCAAACTGGGCCCGTCGCCGTTCTAGGCCAGGTCCAACCAAGGACATCCACGCGGCCTGGAAACGGCGGGCTCAAGGCTTGATTGAAGTCACGTCGGTGAACATCAGCCGCACCAAACTGTCAGGGGCACTTCGATTTCAGTTCGAGCGGGGTCTGCCACCAAAGGGCCCGCTCTTCGAGCCTCCCGAAGAGCTACGCTCGTTTTGTACTGCAGAAATTTCCTGGCCAGCCTCTGCTGTGAATGGCGTGCCCCGTCTGGCCTGGTTCACGCGCAGACTCACGCGCAGACTCGGGACTCGCGCAGAGGATGTAAAGCCGCAACAATCCTGACCCGATCTTGAGACTGAACTTGAGACCAAACTTTTGCGCCGAAATTGCTTGCCACCGTCACGCCAGTAAAGCCCAAAAACAAAGCCGAAAGACCTCGGCCATGAAAACCCCTAAACCGAAAGCCGCGAAACCCTTGAAACCCTAAGCAGCCTACCATAAACGCCCTTAACCCTAGAACACCGAAGCCGTAAACTCCCTCAGGCTTGGTAACTCTCCTTAGAACCGAAATGACCCTCAAAGAGCCCTGCTTGACCCCGCGAGCTTTCCCTCAAAGAGCCCTAAACCCTAACTCAACCCGAAACTCAGAACCCTGAACCCTTGAAACCCTGATTCAACCGTGCAAGCTATATGCCCTAGGATATTTAAACAAACTCTAAACCGTCGAAAGCCCCTCACAACCCTGACCCGTGCGAAACAAAACCTAAACCCCAAGGCCTATGAACCCTTACAACCCTAAGTAACCTAAACCTAAAAGCTGTAAATCCTAAAGCCCATGGGCCCTCAAACCCCTAAGCCGTACACACCCTCAGGCCTCCTGAAAACCCTGACCTTTAAACGTTTAAGTCGGGGGGTTAGCCGGATTGTGCTTGAATCGTGCG